ATAATAATCCATTTAACCCTGATCATTTTATTTTATTTTATTTGACAAATAGAGTTAGCAGTGAGAGAGAGAGAGAGAGAGAGAGAGAGAGAAAGGTCTTCCACTGGTTCACTCCCCAAATGGCCGCTGTGGCTGGAGCTATGCCGATCTGAAGCCAGGAGCCAGGTGCTTCCTCCTGGTCTCCCATACGGGTGCAGGGGCCCAAGCGCTTGAGCCATCCTCCACTGCCCACCCCCGGGCCACAGCAGAGAGCTGGAAGAGGAGCAACTGGGACTAGAACCCGGCACCCATATGGGGTCACAGGTGGAGGATTAACCAAGTGAGCCATGGCCCCTACCCTGAACATTTTAAATAAAGCTGTAGACAAGATCTAATCAAAGTTATGGTAATCACTCTGTCAGTAAAAAGTGGCAGATAATGTTAACTCTGTTAAAATTTAGTTCTTCCAACAGTCAAGGCTCCAAAACAGTGAAGGAAAACACATGCCCCTTTCTTTCAGATGCATACAAGTCTCATTATCTATGTCATTTACAGTAGCACAGAAAAACCTTAATTATAAACGACATCAGCATATGAACCCATGACTTCAAGACAGTTAAATACATTGTGGGACACATCCTGTTGTCAAGAGCAGAAGGACTGAGTGAAGCTACACTGCAGAGGAGGGAAAGAGGTCTGTCAGGTAGTTCTGCTCTCTGGACTTCTAAGTCAGAAGAGCTACTTTATAATAATTTCCTCTAATCTCATCTATCCTAATCTCACACAGCATTCAATTTTTACCATCCTTCTACAGCATACTTATTCCTTCTGTTCCTCTTTCTATCCAAAAAATTCTTTCTGTGAACCTTCTGTCACAAGAATACATTCTAATGCTTATAGCTTCCTCCACAACTTTATTTCCTACTTACTGGTTCCTTTAATTCACATCCTAAAACAAACCTCAACACCTCTAAGTTAACAGAAAAACATCTTTTAAAAGGGGGCTGTGGTGTTTTGGCATAGTGGATAAAGCCACCACCTGTGGTGCTGACATCCCATATGGGTACCTGTTTGAGTCCTGGCTGCTCCATTTCCAATCCAATTGCCTGCTAGAGTGCCTAAGAAAGCAGTGAAGGATGGCCCAAGTCCTTCGGTCCCTGCATCCATGTGGGAGGCCCAGGGGAAGCTCCTGGCTCCTGGCTTCAGATTGGCCCAGCTCTGGCTGTTGTATGGAGATTACAAGAGCAATTACTTCAAGTGTACATGCTGTTCTGCTTTCAGGACTTGTTTCCTTGTTCCATTGAACAAAAATTTATTTTCTTCCCATTTTCTTTGGCCTCTGTTACTCGCATAGACTAATATCTACCTAGCTATCTTAAAAATTTGTCATGTCCATTCTATGAAATTTTATCGATTTTTATTTCATCCCATGAGTTCCACTTTGCACAATTATTCGATCTATAAGTTTTATGGCTCATTTTTATAATTTATATTTGTTATTTATTTCCCTATTTTCCTTTAAATTCTTGAAATATGTGTAATAAATACTTTAGAACTTTTATTCATTAAATTATAGTAACATTTTTGAACTATTTATGTTGACAGACTTCTCTAGTTAAGGATTGTTAAGATTCAAAATTTCTTGCCTTATTATTGACTGAATGCTGTACATAAGGTTGGTTGATTCCTTCATTGTCTTCAAGAATTTCCAGCTTTGGCAGGCATTCTAACTTGTATCTTATCTTGACTGTTCCAAAGATTATACTGAAGATTTATTAACACTCCTTTAGAGTAGCCTTCATTGTAGAAGTAGTGTGCTCTTCAGCCTTGGGATAAAACCCAGTTGATAATGTTGAATCATCCTTTTCATGCACTGATACCTTATATTTGCTTGTATTTCGTTGAGCATTTTTGCATCTATGTTTATCAGGGTGATTGGTATGTAGGTTTCTTTTTTTTGTGCCATTTTCTGGCCATGGAATCAAGCTTTTGTGGCTTTGTAGACGAAATTTGGGAGTTTCTTCCATTGAAATTTTTTGAAATAGTTCAAGGTGAATTGGTGTTAACCCTTTTAAAGTTTTGTAAATTCAAAAGTGAAGCTATCTAGTCCTAGACTTTTCTTTGTTGGAATACCTTTTGTTACTCATTTGATCTCATTACCTGTTTTTCTTTTGTTCATAATTTCATTGTTGCTTTCTATAATTCATGGTTCAATGTTGAAGATGTAATCTAGGCTCATAATCAATAAACTTTGAGTTAATCAGAAGGAAATTCATAGAGTGTCCCTTTTAACCATGCGAACTCTATTTTAAACATTTTATTTTAATTATCGTTAATTATGGGGCCTGCTGTAATAAGCCAACACAAGTATTTGACATATGAAGACCAAATGATGTTAGTTAGCATCTTCATCTCTTTATATACTTGAGGTGTTCAGAAATCAGAAATCTTAGAATGGGTCTCTGGTTTGGAGGAAGTAGGCTTGCTGAGTTTTGAAAGGGTCATGTGACCAGGAAATTCTAAGAGTCAAGAGCAATCCCTGGCAGACATCTGTCACCAAAATGGGAGCCTCAAGCCTACAACTACACAGTATTGAATTCTGTCAACATCTAGTGAGCTCTGAACAAAACTGCAATCTTACATGGAAAGACAACCGCAGCCAACACCTGGATTTCATCCTAGTGACACCCTAAGCAAAGAAGCCACTTGAGCCTTGCTTGACTTCTGCCCTACAGAAACTGTGACATAAGAAATGGATTTGAATTTAAGTTGTCAAGTGTTTCTTTTTGCTTTTGTTTTACCAGGAATAATAAAAACAATAAAAATTTAAAAAATAGACAGCCAATATAGTAATGAATGAAAAATAGGTAAATGTTTGTCCCTTAAATTTAAACTACCTGAAGATACCATTAAGTAACAACTTAATACTTTATCCCTCTTAGTATTTTTTTTTGTTTGTTCTACTTAATACTTTTGGTTGAATACTGTAATCAATACACAGTTATTCTCAAGTGTTGAAACTTAACTGAAAAGTGATCACTGTAAAATATAAGAGCGGGAATAAGAGAGGGAAGAGATGTGCAATTTGGGACATGCTCAAGCTGACTTACCTCAAACGGTAAAGTTAGAAACATACCAGGTGATTCCAATTCAATCCCATCAAGGTGGCATGTACCAATGCCATCTCACTAGTCCCAGTGATCAATTTCAGTTCACAATTGATCATAATGATAGGACTAAGAGCCAAAGGGATCACACAAACAAGACTAGTGTCTTCAAATACTAGCTGATAGAATAAAAAAGGGAGAGAACGATCCAACATGGGAAGCAAGATACACAGCAGACCCATAGAATGGCGGATGTCCTAAACAGCACTCTGGCCTCAGAATCAGCCCTTAAGGCACGCGGATCTGGCTGAAGATCCCATGAGAGTATTACAGACATGGAAAGCCAAAACACTCTGGCAAAATAAACAACAACAACAACAAAAAAAAAACAAACAAACCCTAAATGAAAGATCTTCACAAGTGAGATCCCAGTGAAAAGAACAGGTCATCAAAGAAGGAGGTACCTTTCTCTGAAGGGAGGAGAGAACTTCCACTTTGACCATGGCCTTGTCTAAATATGATCAGAGCTGGTGAACTCAAAAGGCTTCCATAGCCTTGGAAACTCATGACAAGAGCCTAGGGTGATTACTGAGGCCATAAACAAGAGTGTCAATTTGTTAAGTCAACAACAGGAGTCACTGTGCACTTACTCCTCATGTAGGATCTCTGTCCTTAATGTGCTGTACATTGAGATTTAATGCTATATCTAGTACTCAAACAGTATATTTCACTTTGTGTTTCTATGTGGGTGCAAACTGTTGAAATCTTTACTTAATGTACGCTAAACTGATCTTCTGTATATAAAGAGAACTGAAAATGAATCTTGATGTGAATGGAAGGGGGGAGGGAGCGGGAAAGGGGAGGGTTGCGGGTGGGAGGGAAGTTATGGGGGGTGGGAAGCCATTGTAATCCATAAGCTGTACTTTGGAAATTTATATTCATTAAATAAAAGTTAAAAAAATAAAAATAAGTAATGTCTTATTGAAGAAATCTCATTAATTTTGTTATAGACATGTCTTTTTATGAGTTTTCACTAAGAATCTAGAGAGGGGCTGGCATGTGGCATGATGGGTTAAACCTCAGCCTACAAATGTGGCATCTCATGTGGGTACTGGTTTGTGGTCTGGCTGCTCCATTTTCAATCCAGCTCTCTGCTAATGCACCTTGGAAGGCAGTTGAAGATGGCCCAAGTGCTTGTGCCTCTGCACCCATGTGGAAGACCCTGATGAAACTCCTGACTCCTGGCTTTGGCCAGGTCCATTGCCAGCTGTTGCAGGCATTTGGGGAGTGAACCGGGATATGAAAGATTATCCCTCCCTCCCTCCCTCTAACTCTGCCTTTCAAATAAATGGAATAAATCTTTTAAAAAAGAATCTAGGAGAACAAATATAGTTTTGTGTACTTTTTCTTTCCTTTCTATTTCCTTTTACAGAGTGCTCTCTTAGTTTATATCACTCTTTCCTCCCCTGTATTATTTTTGTGATGTAAATGACTCTGAAAGTGATGAAAAAAGATCAATAACCATGAACTTTGCCTTTCATGTTACTTCTTTCTCCTTCCTTACAACCTTCCTATGAACAATTTGCATTATTTAATAATGGAGAGAGACAAAGGAAACATATCCCAAGTCAGAATTAGGGCAAAATAATAAGTTTCTAGTGTTACACAGTAGATTGAAGTTACCGCACTTCACAGTAACCTATTCTGTCTTTTATGAGCAAATAAAAGAAAGGAACTCCAAGTCTCCAATCATAAAATGTCAAGGAAAGGGAAAGGATGATTACCCTGACTTGAGGAGTATACATTATATAAATGTATTGAAATGTCACAGTGCAACCCATAAATATGTACTATGATTGTTAATAAAAATTTTATAAAGGTAACATACAAAATATGAATAAAGAGTGAAAATGAAGAACAGATACATGTTTAAATACAAGTCAATTTCTAACTTTGACAGGTTCAAAAAATGCTCCATTTGCCTGCTATGAAGAAATACAGTCTCAAACAGATAGTTTTGGGAACTGCGGTAAAGACAGGAACAAATATACACCCTGCGGATGGAGGTTTGTTATACAAATATCAATAATTTTCTTGTGTTCTGTGTTTCTTTTCTTGCTTTGCTCTCCCTAGGTTAAGCATGTCACTCATTTCAGTGGTACTGCAGAAACACCCATGCATGAGAGTGAATCTCAAATCTAAACCTCCAGCCCTGACATCTTTCTAATGCTACAGACTATAAAATTTCATTTTATTTCAGATTATTTATATGTGAAGGATCATTAGGCTCCTATATCCAATCCAGAATTGAAATTCATGATACTGTGTGTATTGTGGGCAATCCCCTTAATACTGGCTGTGCTGTGGCCACCATCTGGCTGTATTCCAGGCTCTTCCCTCTACCTATGAAAGAACTAATGAAGGGGTTTAGGAAAGCAGGATTTATTTAAAAGAGTGGTACACACTCAGTCATGAGTGTGGACAGTCTCTATCAAAGAGGAAGAAAAGGGCCAGCATTGTGGTGCAGTGGGTAAAGTCATCACCTCGACGCTGGCATGCTATATGGACCCTTGTTTGTGTCTCAGCCACTTCACTTCCTATCCAGGTTGCTGCTAATGGCCTAGAAAAAGCAGTGGAAGATGGCCCAAGTACTTGGGCCCCTGATACCCACTTACTTTTGTAATATATTATTTATCAATAATTATTTTAATAAAATAAAATAATTTATTAATAAAATAATATAAATTATTAATAATAAATTTACTAGTAATACACTGTCTCTTGGATGAAGTTCTTGTCTCTTGGCTTTGGCATGGATCAGCCTTGGCTGTTGCGGCCATTTGGGGAGTAAACTAGTAGATGGAAGACCTCTCTCTCTCTTTCTCACGCTCTGCCCCCCTCCCCCCTCCCTCTCTCTCTGTAACTCTGGCTTTTGAATAAATAAATAAATAAATCTTTAAAAAGAGAAAAGAAGAGCTGCTGTTCTCTACAAGGTTGGGGTCATCCTTTAAAAGGATGAGGGAGGTGCTCTAGTTGAATATTCAAATAGGACTGAATTTTGATAGAGCTTCAGTACTGCTGGCTTCTGTGTCCCCCTTTATTGGGAATCTTGGAGGAATCATGGGCTGTAGCACACACATGGTTATCATGGCATCTTTGCATCATGGGGAGTGAGGTTCATTTGCATGACGGAGAATGGATGTGTACAGCCTGCAGTCAGGTTGGATGGGCATGGAAGAAGGTATGGTTTATCTGTTGCAGGCCTGTGGCACAGATGCTGCTGGCAGCCTCTCGGCTACTCTTTGCTTACTAGTTCCCTGCATGCCCAAATGAGCTGTACATTTCCTTTCCAATTTTCCTTATGGAACTTGTATCTCCACTCACTTGGTTGCTTGTTCCAGATGAAGATTGCTTAGTGTCTATAAAATAAAGTTCACTTTCTCATGCACCTAAAGAGTTACCTCTTTAATATTGTGGCCATGACCTTAACAAAATATTTATTAAGAACAAGTTATGTGCTAGACACCAGGCTAATAACTAGTTAACAAAGCATAGTTATAGGATTGACATACATACTTGTATAGTGTAGTTCTGTGCTTCCTTGATTTGCCTGTTACTACTTTCGTTTATCAGTATCACACTCTTCCTGTTGAAAATTTTAACTTTAATTCACATTCTGTGAGGTTTTCCATAACTGTTACGTTAGAATGTGTCCTCATCTTAAGTCTTCATCAGTATTGTAGTTCATCTGTAGCATTTTTAATGGAATTTGTGTCAGATGTAATACTGGAATGAGAGGTCTTTGAGGGTAGGAGTAACATTTACTCATATTTTTTATTCGTCTATAGTGAGAGATAAAATTATGGGGTACATTGATTATATGATAGTAAATATATAATATGCACAGTGAATAGAAATCTATTATGAATGAAATCCTGGGGCTGGTGCTATGGTGTAGTGGGTGGGACCACTGCCTGTAGTGCTGGCATTCCATATGGGCACCAGTTCCAGACCCGGCGGCTGCTCCAATTCTGATCCAGCTCTCTGGATTCTCCACCAATGGAGGATGGCCCAGGTCCTTGGGCCTCTGCACCTGTGTGTGAGACCCAGAGGAGACTCCTGGCTCCTGGAGGCAGATCAGTGCAGCTCCGGCCATTCATTGCAGCCATCTGGGGAGTGAGCCAGTGGATGGGGGACTGACATTTCTCTCTCTCTCTCTCTCTCTCTCTCTCTGTCGACTTCTCTGTAACTCTGCCTTTCAAATAAATAAATCAATCTTTAAAAAAACAAAAAGAATGAAATCCTGACATTAGATAAAAGATTGCAGGAACTGGTAATGATTATGCTACGTGAAATAAGCCAGACCCAGAAATACAAATATCACGCCTTCCCTTATTTGTGGAAGTTAATATATAGAGTGTATGAAAATTGGATGGATGTCATAACACTTGGAATATATTTATAAATATTGCTTCACTGAGAGGTAGAGTTACAGACAGAGAGAAGGAGAGACAGAGAGAAAGGTCTTCCATCTGCTGGTTCACTCCCCAGCAACAGCCAGGGCTGCACTAATTCGAAACCAGGGACCGGGAGCTTCTTCTGGGTCTCCCACATGGGTGCAGGGGCCCAAGCACTTTGGTCATCTTCCACTGCTTTCCCAGGCCATAATCAGAGAGCTGGATCAGAAGAGGAGCTGCTAGGACATGAACTGGTGCCGATATGGGATACTGGCACCACAGGCAAAGGCTTAGCCTACTATGCCACAGCACTGGCCTAATTTTAATGAACTTTTAACAGATTCAATATGATTTGTAGATACAAGTCTAAGAACCTGATGATATCCTACTCTTCCCTCCCTCTCTTTTACCTTTTTTTTCAGTTTTAGAAATAATACATTTTAAGCCGGTGCTGCAGCTCAATAGGCTAATCCTCCGCCTGCGGCGCTGGCACACTGGGTTCTAGTCCCGGTTGGGGTGCCAGATTCTGTCCCGGTTGCCCCTCTTCCTGTCCAGCTCTCTGCTATGGCCCGGGAGTGCAGTGGAGGATGGCCCAAGTGCTTGGGCCCTGCACCCGCGTGGGAGACCAGGAGAAACACCTGGCTCCTGGCTTCGGATCAGCCGCGGCGGGCATTGGAGGGTGAACCAAAGGCAAAAGGAAGACCTTTCTCTCTGTCTCTCTCTCTCACTGTCCACTCTGCCTGTAAAAAGAAAAAAAAAATAATAATACATTTTAAATTCATAGCACAGTAAAAAAGCTTAATATTTTGATTAAGAACTTTAACAACTAAAAAATTAAACCTATAAAAAATAAAAACCTGTTTATATTACTGAATGAAAAATGCTTAGATAAATGGAATTGTACATTTCTGCCTTTTACTTTAAATGTTAGTGTTAAAAATTTACATCCCGGTCGGGGTGCCGGATTCTGTCCTGGTCACTCCTCTTCCTGTCCAGCTCTCTGCTGTGGTCCGGGAGTACAGTGGAGGATGGCCCAAGTCCTTGGGCCCTGCACCCTCAAGGGAAACCAGGAGAAGCACCTGGCTCCTGGCTTTGGATCAGCGCGGTGCACCGGCCCCCGTGTACCAGCCACGGCGGCCACTGGGGGGTGAACCAACGGCAAAGGAAGACCTTTCTCTCTGTCTCTCTCTCACTGTCCACTCTGCCTGTCAAAAAAAATTACATTTTCTCCTAAGTGCATTGACATAAATAAATAGTGATTCTTTTTTAAGCAAATAAAGCAAATCCAAATCATTCCTAATTAAGTGTTTAATGCATAATAATTATTTACATTTATTATGTTTGCAGGAATCTTATATGTGGACGATTAATTTGTACCTACCCTTCTCGAACTCCTTTCTATCAAGCAAATGGTGCTGTGATTTATGCTTACGTACGAGATAATATATGTGTGACGATACACTACAAATTGGCTGGTTCAGCGCCAGATCCACTGGAGGTCAAAAACGGCTCTGAATGTGATACAGGGAGGGTAAATGATTTAAAATCTATTTGACACTAGTTTTATTCACTACTTTAATATATTCATTTATGAATCAAATTTTATTCATTTCTAGTGTTGTATGTATTTGGAGGACAAAATAAATATATTTAATTTCTAGATACTAAGAGGATAATGGTATGTCTTAAAATTCCCGTGTTTACAGCAAGGAAACTCCAATTACTTTAAGGTTGGAGATTGGAGAGAAGTCTTAGAAATACATTGAGGTTAAGTACTTCATAGCATGGGAAATCATGATTTTCCTCAGATAAAGGACAAAGTAGGAATCCTACTAGTATTATAAAAGTATGTCACTCCATAACTCAGTTTATAAGGGCCCACCTGATATCAAGCAGATTATAATTAAATCTCATCTCTTATCTGTTGACATTATGCAAGTGACTTAACCAGTCTGAGAAACTTCAACTCTATGTAAAGTGAGGATAATGATAACATTTACTCCATGGCCCAATGTAAGAGCTAAATAAAATTCAGGTATTATTATTGATTTTTACCACTATAATTTTTTATATCTGAGCCCAACAGAAGTCTGAAAAAAATAGAAGAAATAAATTTACCTCAAAACCTCATCTTTGTTCACGAGGAAACATATGTATAATTATAGTATAAATAGTAGAAACATAGTAAAAACTGTAAGTTTTAAAGACAGATGCACATAAATTTGAATTCTGAATCTTCCACTTACTTGTTAAGTTATCTTGAACATATTATTTAATATGGTTAAACTTTTATTTAGTGGGTAAACTTCTAATAATTTTCCAGTTTAAATAAAGTTTACAAGGGAAAATACATACTCTCATTAATACTGGTTTCCTTTTCATGCATAGAAGTTGCAAATGTCTTCTTGAAGGAAGTTTAGGCCAGGGAGCTCAGTAGATATATTTATGAATATATTCATGAAGCCAAAACAACTAAAATATGCAACACTTCCATAAAATATTTGAGATTATTCAGTGGGTAATTTAATAAGAATAGAATACTTTTTATATCATGAACAATTCTGAGAGATAATGTGTGAAAACAGATTTTATCAGTAGCTTTTTATAATACTATAAATTATGTATGTTGAAGCACTTTGTTTTCTAAGTCAGTGTTCTCATGTAGTAGGCACCTTATCTCAATTTCAATCAAGCTAGGCATAGAATACATGCTACATTCCAAGAGGAGTTTTTAAGTACACCTCACTGTGGCTGGCTCTGTGGCACAGAGGGTTAAAGCCTCAGCCTGCAGTGCCAGCAGCCCATGTGGGCTCTTTTTTGGATCCAGGTTCCTGCGAATGCACCGGAGAAAGTAGCAGAGGATGAGCTAAGTCCTTGAGCCCCAGCACTCACATGGGAGACCCAGAAGAAGCTCCAGGCTCCTGACTCCTGGCTCCTAAATTCAGATTGGCTCAGCTCTGGCCATTGCAGCCATTTGGGGAGGAACCAGCAGATAGAAGACATATTTCTCTCTCTGTGTCTCTACCTCTCTCTAATTCTTTCAAATAAATATTTTTTTTTAAAAAAATCACACTTCATTTCCCAGTTCCAGTGAGAGAAGAGTTAAAGAGTTAGATTCAGGGTTTAAAGGGATTATATTGGTGGCCAGTATTGTGGGTTAGTGGGCTAAGCACTGTATTTGATGTTTATTCCCTATATTGGAGAAACTTTTCAAGTCCCAGCTGCTCTGCTTCTAATCTAGTTCCGTGCTAATGTACATGGGAAAGTAGCAGACGATGGCCCAAAATTTAAGTCCCTGCCACCCAGGTAACAGATTTTGGTGGAGTTCTTGGTTCCTGGCTTTGGCCTGGCCCAGCCATGGCTCCTATGGCCATTTGGGGAATGAACTGGAAAATGGAAGATTCTTCTCTCTCTCTCTTTCGCTCTCTCTTGCTCTCACTCTCTTTCATTCTATCACTCTGCCTTTCAAATAAATAAATCTTAAAAGATCAGATTTTAAAAGGCTTTGTGGTCTATTTCTTTGAAGAGTTGTATTGTGCATTAATGTGTAAAATGAGGCATTTTCACATTCATCATCTCGTTTTGACTTACAACTGAAATGCCATTTACTTTTTCTATTTTTAGAGAAATGCATTTTGCTCATGTAGGAAAACTGTAATTTAGAAAAGCTGAGACTGCTGTAAGTAACAGAGTTGGGGATATATCCCTTGTACTTTGCATCCCAATTGGCACACTTTATCTATCCCTAGTACTTTCCCATTTGGTACACTTCATTTTTTCAATTAAAGGCTTGTTTGGGAGGGAGGGAGACAGATAGGAAGACATAATGAGAGAGTAAGAGAGCTCCCATCCACTAGTTCATGTTACAAAAGCCAAGTACTTGGTTCAGGTTTTCCATGTGAGTGGCAGGGGCTCGTCTGGCATCTCCTGCAGCCTTCCAGGTGTGACTGAACTGGAAAGTGGAATCAGGAGTGGAGCCTGGGACTCAAACCCAGGCATTTTTTAACCCCTAGGCAAAATGTCTACCCCCTGCTTACTCTTTTTTAAAGAGTTATGTATATATTATTTGAAAATCAGAGTTAGAGAGAGAGAGATCTTCCACCACTAGTTTACTCCCCAGATGGCCACAATGGCCAAGGCTGGGTCAGGCTGAAGCCAGTAGTCTCAAACTCCATCTGGGTCTCCCACATGGGTGGCAGGGGCTCAGACATCTGGAACATTCTCCACTACTTTTCCAGGAACATTAGCAGCGAGCTGGAGTGGAAGTGGAACAGTCAGGACTTTAATTGGTGCCCATATAGGGTGCAGACATGCAGGTGGCAGCTTAATCTATTGTGCCACAACACCCTGCTTACTCTATCCTTAAACTTAAAAGGATATGCATACATTTATGGTATATTTTGTAATAAAGTTATCAGTATCTCATTAAGTTTAAAGATGTTTAGTTTTATTTTATTTCAAGAAGGGAGAGGAAGAGAGAGAGGGAAAGGGAAAGGGAAAGAGGGGGAAAGGGAAAGGGAAAGAGAGAGAGAGAGGAGAGAGAGAGATCTCCATTTATTGGTTTACTCCCCAATGCATACATCTGCCAGGGCTGAGTCAGGCCAAAGCCAGGAGCCTGGTACTCTGTGTGGGTCTCCAACATGGGTGGGAGGGACCCACATATTTGAACTATCATCTGGGCCTGGTGCCGCAGCTCACTAGGCTAATCCTCCACCTTGTGGTGCCGGCACACCAGGTTCTAGTCCCGGTCGGGGCGCCGGATTCTGTCCCAGTTGCCCCTCTTCCAGGCCAGCTCTCTGCTGTGGCCAGGGAGTGCAGTGGAGGATGGCCCAAGTGCTTGGGCCCTGCACCCCATGAGAGACCTGGCTCCTGCCATCAGATCAGCACAGTGTGCCGGCTGCAGTGTGCCGGCCGCGGCGGCCATTGGAGGGTGAACCAATGGCAAAGGAAGACCTTTCTCTCTCTCACTGTCTACTCTGCCTGTCAAAAAAAAAAAATTGAACTATCATCTGCTGCCTCCTAGGATAAGCAGTAGCAGCAAGGGGGACCAGAAGTGGAGTAGCTGGGATTGAACAAGGCACTCCACATGAAATATGGTATTCCAAAGAGTGACTTAACAACTGAAACAAACAATACATGCCTCCTTTATTATGTTTTAATAAAAGATCCCATTATATACATTAAATACTTAGGGGGATCTAGTAAAGCTCATAATTTATGAAAACAATATGTGCTATGATTATATTGAGTTGATTTTCTGTGCAAATTTTTTAATGTCCAATGGATGCAATACATTCTTTTAACTATGTGCTCAAGAATAGTTTTTTTACATTTCATTGTATTCTAATAAAAAGTTGTTCTTTGATTATTAATTTCTTTTTGGCATGACCAATCTTATTTCATTGATATTCCCTAGTTCCTGCCTGAAAACTTCTAAATATTATTTATTTTATTTTAGTTTTAGGTTTATAGCAAAATTGACTATATGCTACAAAGGGTTTCCATGTACTTTTTGCCATCTACATTCCACACAACCAACCCCACAATCCACAACCTACACCATAGTCATAAATTTGGTGCATCTACACTGACTCATCTTTATCAACTAAAGTTCATAGTTTGCATTAGGGTTACCTGGAAAATCCTCAAATATTTGGAGATTAAATAACATCCTTCTAAATAACACATTGGTGGAGAAGAATACTGAACAGAAATTTTAAAGCATTTTGAAATAAATGAAATACAACTTCTCAAAATTAGTGGAACACAGTGAAAGTGGTACCTAGAAATTTATAGCATTGAGTGATTGATTTTATCCTATGCAATTATTGATTTTGATATATATTGGCTGAATTTTTTTGACTTTTTCGTACATTTTTCTTTAGATTTGTATAAATCGTTTATGTGTAGAATCAAGAACACTTAAAAGTCAATCATATACTTGTCGACAACAGTGCCATGGAAATGGAGTAAGTAAGCCTATGTTTCCCTGAATCACATCTCTCTTGAGAGTAATCATTCACTAGTTTTTCAGTGTTTATTGAGTCCCTAGATGTGCCGGGCTCTGTTATCTTATTTACATGTGAGTTGGTCTGAATAACTATATTCAGGAGCCATAATTAGTTTTACAGAACACATTGAATAGAATTGAATTGAATTTTAAAATTATCATGAATGGGTGATGGATTTTGTTTTGTTAAATACCTTTTCTTTATCGACTGGTGTGATAATATGATTCTTCTTTAACCTGTTTGTATGTGGTGAATTAAATTTAACATTCAACCAGTCTTGTATACTTTGGGGTAAATATCACTAGATTGTAATATATAATCATTTGTAATATGTAATATATAATAATATATAATATATAATAATTGAGCATGCTAATACTTTGTTGGGGATATTTTGATCTATATTCATGAAGCATTTGTATTTTACATTTCTTGTAATATTTTTCTCTTGTTTGGGTATTAGTGCAATATTGGCCTGAATAATTAATTAGGGCATATCCCCTCTGCTTCTATCTTCTGGAAGAGATTGTAGAAAACTGAAGTTATTTCATGCTACATTGGTAGAATTTACCAATGAATCCATCTGAATAATTATTTCTTAGATCAATTAATAAGAAAATTGTTGCTTTATGTTATCATTGTCAAATTCTCTTCATTCTTTATTTAAAATTGATTTTCCAGCATATAATTTTCATTTTCACAAAACTTATTTTTTTAACTTTTATTTAATGAATATAAATTTCCAAAGTACAGCTTATGCATTACAATGGATTCCCCCCCATAACGTCCCTCCCACCCGCAACCCTCCCCTCTCGCACTCCATCTCATGCCTTCCATTCACATCAAGATTCATTTTCGATTCTCTTTATATACAGAAGATCAGTTTAGCATACATTAAGTAAAGATTTCAACAGTTTGCTCCCACACAGAAACATAAAGTGAAAAATAATACATGATTTTTTAAATGATGATGAAAGCAGATCAGACCTATTGTCATGTTTAATCCCAGTGAGAGTCAAGTTGGGAATTGATAATTTCTTTTTTTTTTTTTTACAGAAGATCAGTTTAGTATACATTAAGTAAAGATTTCAACAGTTTGCAACCCCCTAGAAACACAAAGTGAAATATACTGTTTGAGTACTCGTTATAGCATTAAATCTCAATATACAGCACATTAAGGACAGAGATCCTACATGAGGAGTAAGTGCACAGTGACTCCTGTTGTTGACTTGACAAACTGACACTCCTATTTATGCATCAGTAATCTCCCTATGCTCCAGTCATGAGTTTCCAAGGCTATGGAAGCCTTTTGAGTTCTCCGACTCTTATCTTGTTTAGACAAGGTCATAGTCAAAGTGGAGGTTCTCTCCTCCATTCAGAGAAAGGTACCTCCTTCTTTGAAGACCTGTTCTTTCCACTGGGATCTCACTCACAGAGATCTTTCATTTAGGTGGTTTTGTTTGTTTGTTTGTTTGTTTGTTTTTTGCCAGAGTGTCTTGGCTTTCCATGCCTGAAATACTCTCATGGGCTTTTCAGCCAGATCGGAATGGCTTTAGGGCTGATTCTGAGGCCAGAGTGCTGCTTAGGACATCTGCTGTTCTATGAGTCTGCTGTGTATCTCGCTTCCCATGTTGGATCACTCTCCCCTTTATTTATTCTATCGGTTAGTATTAGCAGGTACTAGACTTGTTTATGTGCTCCCTTTGACTCAGTCCTTTCATTATGATCAATTGTGAACTGAAATTGATCACTGGGACTAGTGAGATGGCATTGGTACATGCCACCTTCATGGGATTGAATTGGAGTCCCTGGTATGTTTCTAACTCTACCATTTGGGGCAAGTCATCTTGAGCATGTCCCAAATTATACATCTCTTCCCTCTCTTATTCCCACTCTTATGTTTAACAGGGATCACATTTCAGTTAAATTTCAACACTTAAGAATAACTGTGTATTAATTACAGAATTAAACCAGTCATATTAAGTAGAACAGACAAAAAAATCTACTAAGAGGGACAACGTATTAAGTTGTCCATTAGCAGTCAGGGCTATGCTGATCAAGTCACCGTTTCCCATAGTGTCCATTTCACTTCAGGAGGTTTCCTTTTTGGTGTTCAGTCAGTTGTCACCGATCAGGGAGAACATATGGTATTTGTCCCTTTGGGACTGGCTTAGTTCACTCAGCATAATGTGTTCCAGATTCCTCCATCTTGTTGCAAATGACCATGTTTCATTGTTTTTGACTGCGGTATAGTATTCTAAAGAGTACTTATCCCATAATTTCTTTATCCAGTTTACCGTTGATGGGCATTTAGGTTGGTTCCAGGTCTTGGCTATTGTGAATTGTGCTGCAATAAACATTAGGGTAAGACCGCTTTTTTGTTTGCCAATTTCATTTCCTTTGGGTAAATTCCAAGGAGTGGGATGGCTGGGTCGAACGGTAGGGTTATTCAGGTTTCTGAGGAATCTCCAGACTGACTTCCATAGTGGCTTGACCAGTTTGCATTCCCACCAACAGTGGGTTAGTGTCCCTTTTTCCCCACATCCTCGCCAGCATCTGTTGTTGGTAGATTTCTGTATGTGAGCCATTCTCACCGGGGTGAGGTGAAACCTCATTGTGGTTTTGATTTGCATTTCCCTGATTGCTAGTGATCTTGAACATTTTTTCAGGTGCCTGTTGGCCATTTGGATTTCCTCTTTTGAAAAATGTCTATTGAGGTCCTTGGCCCATCTCTTAAGTGGGTTGTTGGTTTTGTTTTTGTGGAGTTTCTTGATCTCTTTGTAGATTCTGGTTATTAACCCTTTATCTGTTGCATAGTTTGCAAATATTTTTTCCCATTCTGTCGGTTGTCTCTTCACTCTCCTGACTGTTTCTTTTGCAGTACAGAAACTTCTCAATTTGATGCAATCCCAATAGTTGATTTAGGCTTTGACTGCCTGCGCCTCCAGGGTCTTTTCCAGAAACTGTTTGCCTGTGCCAATATCCTGAAGGGTTTCTCCAATGTTCTCTAATAACTTGATGGTGTCAGGTCATAGATTTAGGTCTTTAATCCACGTTGAGTGGATTTTTGTGTAAGGCGTAAGGTAGGAGTCTTGCTTCATGCTTCTGCACGTGGAAATCCAGTTTCCCAGCACCATTTATTGAATAGACTGTTCTTGCTCCAGGAATTGGTTTTAGATCCTTGGTCAAATATAAGTTGGCTGTAGATGTTTGGGTTGATTTCTGGTGTTTCAATTCTGTTCCATTGGTCTATCCATCTGTTTCTGTACCAGTACCGTGCTGTTTTGATTACAACTTCCCTGTAGTATGTCCTGAAATCTGGTATTGAGATGCCTCCGGCTTTGTTTTTGTTGTACAAGATTGCTTTAGCTATTCAAGGTCTCTTTTGCCTCCATATGAATTTCAGCATCATTTCTCTAGATCTGAGAAGAATATCTTTGGTATCCTGATTGGAATTGCATTGAATCTATAAATTGCTTTTGGGAGAATGGACATTTTGATGATTTTGATTCTTCCAATCCATGAGCATGGAAGATTTTTTTTTCCATTTTTTGGTATCCTCTTCTATTTCTTTCTTTAAGATTTTGTAATTCTCATCGTAGAGATCTTTAACATCCTTGGTTAAGTTTATTCCAAGGTATTTGATTGTTTTTGTAGCTTTTTAAAATATTTCTTTGAAGGCTGTTGATAAATACACTCAGTTTTTGTTGCAGTATTTCTTTTTCACTTTAGTAAAATAATTTCATAGGATTACAAATTTTAGGTTGGTGATTTTTTCTTGTAAACTTCTTTGTGCTCACATGGTTTCCGAAGAGAAATCCAATGTAATTTTATCACTGTACTTCTGTAGATAACATGTTTTACCTAATCTGGCTTCTCTCAAAATTTGTTCTTTATCTTTGATTTTCTGTAGCTTGAAAATTATACGATTAGGTGTAAATTTTGACATTTACCCAGATTGATATTTTTTGAATTTCCAGGTCCTGTGATTTGATATAAGAAATAATTTCAGAAAATTTTCAGTCATTCTTCCTTTAATTACTTCTTCCATTCCATTCTTTACTCTCCTTTTGGCTTTCCCATTACACATGTGTTTAAACTTTTCTAGTTGTCCCAAAGTTCTTTCATATTCCTTCTATTTTTTCAATCTTAACTCTGTTTTTAAGTTTTATAAAATTCTAAAAAAAATCCTCAAGCTTAGAGATCTTTCCTCATGAGCTCATCAAAGGCATTTTTAATCTCTAGAATTTCTTTTTGACGCTTAGAATTTCTATCTTTTGTTACATTATGTATCTATTTTTGCATGCTCTCTACTTTGTCCATTAGAGCTGTTAGCATGTTAATCATAATTTCAAATTGCTTGTCTTAGAATCCCATCTTCCTTGCCATATAGGGGTCAGATTCTGATGCCTTTTTAAAGTGTTTTTAACCTTATAGTATGCTTTGTTAATTTTACTTGATAAAACATGTTGACTTGTTAAAAAAATAATGTGCTGGTAAGATGTATGTCCAATGGTAGATCTCAGTCTTTTTTAAAAAGATTTATTAATTTATTTATTTGAAAGTCAGAGTTACACAGAGAAAAGGAGAGGCAGAGAGAGAGAGAGACAGAGAGAGAGAGGTCTTCCATTCACTGGTTCACTCCCCAAATGGCTACAATGGCAGGAGCTGTGCTGATCAGAAGCCAGGAGCCAGGAGCTTCTTCCCAGTCTCCCATGCGGGTGCAAGGGCCCAAGGACCTGGACCATCTTCTACTAATTTTCCAGGCCACAGCAGAGAGCTGGACCAGAAGTAGAGAAGCCAGGACTCAAACCAGCGTCCATATGAGATGCCATCACTGCAGGTTTACCTGCTATGCCACAGTGCTGGCACCTAGATCTCAGTCTTTTAGTGAGTCTGTTCTTTCTTTCTTTTTAAAAAAGATTTATTTATTTATTTATTTGAAAGGGGTGGGGAGA